TAGCAGGCGAGAGCGCGCCGAGATAACGAGTTTTTACCCCCGTATTTCACCAGTTAGTGACGGGGAATTGGCCTTGGCGAGTTGCCAATAATTTTCACAGGACTCGTCAAATGAGTAACGCTAAATTTAAAAATGCTTGATGTTCCGTATAGAAAGCTACAGTAAGGCTACGGGCACCACCGAAACTACTATTTGAAATGAAACACATCTTTTTACGCTTTTAAAATCTTTTTACTCTTATATATTTAAAAAAAAAAGTTGCTCAGACAGGCTAGCAGAGCTCCCGTACGCTTGCTTCAAAAATTCGAATTAAAAAAATTTTAATAAATAAAGGAAAATTAATTAGGAAGAAATGTGAGATAAAAATAGATAAAGAAATAATGTGCGGTTCTAGGTTCACAAAACTAGGAAGCTACTCGAAACATTTTTTTCCTTCTGGCTGCGTTTCCTATTTTTGGACCAGGGCAATCTAGCAGGGATTCTTGGGCATCGAGCGATAGAAATAGCCAACGGAAAATTGTTTTCTTACGAACCGAAACGGAAATTTTTGGGAAAAACGAGCGTTTGTACATTGCGGAATTGTCAACCCTGGAACCATCAAAATAACCAAATTTCCTAAAACATTTATTTTTCAATCCCTGGTAGTTGATTTTTGGGCCGGTGCAAGCTAGCCAATCTTCATTGGAGACTAAAAGAACTAACGCGCGGCAAATCGTTTGAATTTCCATAAGAAACCCTGCCTGGCTAAACAAACCCGACTTGTCCATCCATGCCAAAACGAAGTTCATGTTTTAGCCACCCTTCGTGTAGCTAACCCCCATTAATCCAGCGATACGTCCTATCCCCTTTAGGCGGGATTGGTATTTTTGTTTTTGCGTCAAAGACAAGGCGAACTGCAATAAAACATCTTAAAGGCTTCTGGAAACTTAAAAAAGGTTTTGAACGTTTTTTGAATCTGGCCGATCGGCAAGGTTCTACGTTTTCAGGAGCGCAACCCGGGTTTTTTTATTCCTTGTTCCTGCGCACGGTAAACTGCACTGAACCACCTAAAAGCAGTCCGGAAATTAAAAAAATCCTTTAAGCGGTTTTATGCGCCTGGCCAATTGGTAGAGTTCTACGCTTTCAGGCGAGCAACCCGGGTTCGATTCTTTCCGTGGTAAATTTTTTGCTTTTTTGCGCGGGACCTCTAAAAGCCCCAATTCCCGGATTGGCAACATTCCAGGGCGACCAGTACGGGCTCGGGTGGGTTGTTTTTTGGGGGGTTGAGCGGCGCCCGGGTTGGGGATGGGGGGAAGAGACGGGCGAGAGAGAGAGAGCACACGACAGAGTGAGAGACCCCAGACGACATACCCGAAATGGGGACCGGGAGGGCAATACTTGGCTGGCAGCCAAGTATTGGCCCCCTGCCAGGAATGACCCACACCAACACGAAGAAGACGACTCGACTGGCCGGGAAAGAGGACGGCGGCTGGCAATTTGCCCCCGTTTCGGCTTGCCCGCGGCCACGCTGGGCCCTGGGACCCGCCGGAGGGCCCAAAATAGCTAGGGGTAAGGGGGACCCGTAAATATGTAAAAAATATTCAGATTTTCGGCCTTAAAATGTACGATTACCAGAGCCTCGACAGAATTTTTTCATTTGTGGAAAATTCCGATGTTTTAAAAAAATTATATCTTTTCCGATTTTCTCGAAACCATAATTCGATCTTGGTTTTGGATAATTTTGATATAGCTGATTCCTACGGAAAATACCGACTAAAAGGTGGAAGCAGAAGAAGAAAAGGAAAGAAGGAAATTAAGCCCTCGATACATCGTAGGTTAGGAGAAAGTTCTGAAACACTTTTCGAAAAATTCGATGTTTTAAAAATAGATCTATTAGGGAAAATATCGACAGCTCAAAATAGCAAGTTTTTGAGGTGTTTTGCCTCTGTGGATTAAGATGCGCCACTTACCATGGGTGAAGAAAGTTTCTCAAAACTTTGTGCACAAAATTTCGATCTTTCGAAACCTTCGAAAAGTCTTGAATTTCTTGAAACCTTAGTTTTTTCGTAGAGTTTCTTCAAAGCCTAATTTCCTTTTCATAAACGTCGATGATTTTGATTCTGATTTTGATTAATTAAAATGTTGCTTTACAAAGCATGGACCACCAAAACAACTACGGGGATAAAGTGCACCTTGGAGATAATGGAGGAATATTTAGATTTTCGTCTATTTCTGCCTGGCGCCGATTAAAATGCAGTATTACCCCGGTTAAACGAAAAAAATTCCGAAACATTTCTCTATAAAAATTTTTCATGAACGCTGATTTTACTTGCGCTGGTTCGCTTAAGATGTCCCAAATAAGATTTTCTGAGATATTTTTTGCAAACTGTCCCAAAATCGTATTTGCAGCAATTGTCACAAGCATTCTATGTTCCTTAACATTTTTCCACGAAGCTGATTTTTCTTTTTACGCTTGCTCGATTTAATTCTCCCTGGATACCAAAATGGACAAAAGAAGCACTTATCTGTTTATTGTAATTCGTCAGCTCGCACTGTAATCATTGGCCAATTTCAAGGGGTTTTGGTGGTTTTCCGATCTCTAGTGCGGTATCTGACTTCACGGTCACTCTCTCTCTCTCTCTCTCTCCCTCTCTCTCTGTCTGCATTTCGCGGTGACGGGGGTCAGCCAGCCCCCCTCCTCCTGGCTGGAGCACAAACAAAAACGGCGCTAGAGAGTGGGGAATATTTGGATGGGGAAGAGCGAGAGAGAGAGAGAGAGAGAGAGAGCCAGAGAGAGTGAGAACCCGCCGCCACTCAATGGGCGAACCTCCAGCAGGGCGTCCGGTCACTACCCCGAAAAGTCACTACCCCGAAAGTCACTACCCCGAAAGTCACTACCCCGAAAAGTCACTACCCCGAAAGTCACTACCCCCGAAAGTCACTGCCCCGAAAGTCACTGCCCCGAAAGTCACTACCCGAAAGTCACTACCCCGAAAGTCACTACCCCGAAAAGTCACTACCCCGAAAAGTCACTACCCCGAAAGTCACTACCCCGAAAAATGATAGCATTGTTTTTCCCGGAAAAATCCAGTTTTCATGCGGTTTTCCTATGAAAATCATGTAAATTATTTCGGGGTAGTGACTTTTCGGGGTAGTGACTTTTCGGGGTAGTGACTTTTCGGGGTAGTGACTTTCGGAGTGACTTCGGGGTAGTGACTTTCGGGGTAGTGACTTTTCCGGGTAGTGACTGTACCCCCTCCAGCAGCCAACACCGCCGCCGCCGAAAATGGGGGGCCGACAAGAAACTTTGATACTTAAAAATTCTAATATTGACACATTTTTATAGCTATTTTTTGGAAATACAAGGTGATACCTTAAAATCTGCGAAATTTCCATAATCTTCCAGAAAAATTGAATTTTTTAGAATTTTTCTTAGTTTTACTAGTGTCTCCAAGATTTCGAGATTTCCCAAAGAATCTCTGCTAGCCAGCCCCCGGAAAACCATTGGCCTGTAAGAAATTGACTTTTCCGAGCTGTCGACCAAAAAGCAAAAAGTTTGACCCTGGCGGGAATCGAACCCGGGTAGTGTGCCTAGTAGCTGGTAGCTTGACCAATAAACTAACTCTCTATTAAAACGATTTTCTTGTTTTGAATTTAAAAAGACTGTCCAAAGCAGAAAATTTATTAAGATCAAGTTTATTTGTCTATTTACACATTTCCCGAAATTCTTTACAGTAGGATAAATCCGGTAATCGTCCTTGAAGATGTTTTAGGCTGTTGACGTCATCGAGGGTGGGACGGTAGTTTATCTAAAAAAGGTTGTATATTGAAGCGAGTCAGCGTCTCAGAGTAAAATGCTGCGAGGCGGGAACCGCTACGTCGAAGCCTGAAACATACAAAAAACGCCGTTTCGCCACTAGTTAAAAATAGGTGAAGGCAAAATTTTTCGGGATTTTTCGGCATTTTTTCGGCGCGGTTTTTAAGCGCATTGAAAAATATATCTTTGGCTCCAACCGCACCTAAAAGTAACTTAAAATTGAGGCGTTATCGCAGAAACAAAAATACCCCTTGAAAACTGGGCTGAAAAGCTGGTTTTCGGCAAATTCGCGATTTTTCGGTACTTTTTGAGAAAAGTCATTCGATGGAGCAGCGAAAAATATAGTAACAGATTTGATTTCACCCCAAAATAATGTAAAAGAAAATAGTTACGAACCGTCCAGATCAGCAGTACACCTCCTGGTTCTTCAGCTTCCATCGTGCGTTGATATTTCCAATCGCCCAACTTCTGCGTGGTCACTTTTAAGTTATCAGCTTTGTCGATTATGCCGAGCTAAAAGACATTCATCATCTCGCTTGACTATCTAAATTTTTATTATCGAAAATTGGCCGGTTTGTGAAACATATTTTTTATATAAGTCTAGAAATGCCAAATAACTTAATCCGAAATATTTGATAAACCTGTATTATCCAGAAAAACTATCCAAAAATGTTCAAAACTTTTCCAAAATCGGGATTTTAAAAATAATCGATATTTCTCTATTTTTAAAATAAAAATTTGTAAAGTGTTTCCGTTAAGGAATATTGAAAAAGAATTAGAAAACGGCCATTTTTGGCGAAAAAATCGTTGTTTTTTGTATTTTTTAAAATCAAAATTTGTAAAGTTTTTACATTTAGGAATATTGAAAAACAGCTTAAAACGCTTCCGCTAATTTTTTTAGGAAAATTGGGTCCTAAAAGAAGCAAAAGTTACCTGGTATTGCTCGTACTTGATTTCCGGTGGCGGTGGCTGCGTTTTTATGGAAAACCATCTTAAAAAACGGAATAGAATTAGTAATACCGTAAGGATACCTATTCGAATCATACCGGAAACGTACCCCCTCGTCTGGCTAAAATATATGATTCATTCATTTTCAAAGCCCCCTTACCTTGTCGAGTCGTAGAAACCAAATGTTTCGCATTTTACTGAAAAAAGTGTTATATTTGGAATATTTTAATTTTTCCTTAATGCGCGGTAGACATTAGAATAGGCAAAACAACCTTGCGCTCGAATTTTCATACATAACGATCCGGACGTTGTACTTCTTCTCGAAAGCTTCTTGCTTCTTGCCGATGAAGGGGAAATTCTAGCCATAAAATTAAAGTAATTTAACAATTTCTAATATACCCAGGGTCCATCGTGGAATTGGGCAAAACTGTGGGTGATTTCAGCCCCGTCTAGCCATTTCTAAACACACATTTTCTAGCAGTTTGCCGAATTTCATTTAGACGAAAGTTCACTTTTTCGAAATTCATTATGTCGTAGCTGACTTTTTCTAATTATGCCGTCGTAACTTCAATGCGCCGAAATTTCAATTTGCGAAAATATTAAATTTCTGCAAAATAACGCTACGACAAAACGATTTTCGACAAAACGCAAATAAGCGCTAAAAATACCATTAAGTTGGTATTTTCAGGGTTTAAGGCTTGGATATCACCTGTAAATTCTTCAAGACGAGAGCCGTGAAGTTGATACCTTTGCCAAAACCTAAAAATTCATTACTGGTTGCACTATATAATTTTCATTATATTGTAATTTGCACCATAAATCAATAATTTTCTCTCTCTTTTGACCCATAAATTCCATACCGTAAAAGGCCAGTATCGGATATGCATTTGCCCAAGCGTAGACGTCTTTCTAGACTTGCGTTTAGGTATTTTTTTAGACTTTTTCTCACTACAGGGTGCGGAAAAAGTTTTGGGTGGCACCCTTTTATTTCGAAAAATTGTCGTTCTATATGATTCCGCGCTAATTTTGTGATGTCAACATAGATTCGGACGTGCTCTATCCGATTCTGAAAACCATAATGGGTTAAAAATTCTTTTCCGGATGAGAATCGTCTTGGAACCAGGAAGGCTCCAGAAAAGGTACACATTTGGCTGCTATGAAATATAGGTTATAATGCTTCGGATCCTAGCACCCGGCTTTCCAGGGTTTTGGACTATGAAAGACAGGGATAAAGCATTGTCCTATGTAAATCTTATAGTTTTTGATCAACTTTTGTAAACACCCTGGGCGCAATTGAGTTGAAAATCAGCAGCGTGCTGCGGTTTCCGGCTATTTAACTTTTCGTGAAGCACAACCTGGAGTTGTTTTAATGTCTATCCCCCAAATTTGGACGTTAAAGATCCTGATTTACAATATCCATATGCCTAACTTATCATTAATGTGGCGCTTCGCGGTTTATGGGAGCCCTTCAGCTTCGCAGCTGTTTCCCTGGCCGCTAGGGGAATTGCTCGAATCAAAAAGCGCCAGAACTTTCCGAATTCAAATCCAGAGACTTTGTAATTTTATGGGGTGATGGCGGATAGGATTGGCAATGTCTTGACCAAATCTCGTGAATTTTGATCAAGAATGGTGCACAGGGCATACGGTAAGAACAGCATAAACAATGCGTGTCGACGGTGATTTTAGCCCTACGCTTCCAGTGCATTTACTCCCAAAGATTTCAAAAATTTTGTTGATCTGTTGGTGCCTAGTGTTTCTCAAGTCGCCATTTTTTAGACTCCCATTAAAAAAAATCCAGGCTGGAGCACGCAATTGGAGAAAACCTAACTAATTCTGCCACCCAAAACTTTCTCCGCACCCTGTACTAATCGTACTGTCATGGCCACTAGTTTTTGGTATCAATGTACTCTCCATTACCTCTGCTGGGAAGTCACTTTCATTGTAGAAACCGAACCGACCGCCGCCCCACAGAGATGCTGTCTAAACTTGCATATAAGGCTTATGCTTAGGCTTAGGTTATGCTTAGGTTTAGGGGTAGGCTTAGGGGCACGCGTATGTTTGGCTTAGGCTTGGCTTTCCTTGGCTCAAGCTTAAGCCTAAACTGAGGTTTAGAACTAGGCTTAGGCTTAGGGGTAGGCTTATGTTTGGCTTAGGCTTGGCTTATGCTTGGCGTAGGCTTAGGCTTGGCTTATTGGCGTAGGCTTAGGCTTAGGCTTAGGCTTAGGCTTAGGCTTAGGCTCACTTGGTCCACGAGTCGTTTAAGCTACCTTTAAGATGTTTCAATATATTGCCTTACCTCCCACGGTGGAGAGCTGAGAATATTTAGCAACTTCCGAATATCTTCTTTCTTTGTTGCATAGAATTTTATCGACAAAGACTCGTGGCTCCCTAAAAATGAATGATGTGTGTTTTTAAAAGGCCGTTTGCGAGAGACCCGAACAATGCTTGGCACAGTTTTTTTCGACCCCGTTTTTTTCGACGGCATCGGAAAGAGCATGGTCGAATTGGTAGGACTGCATAGTTTTGAAAGTTTAAAAAGTTAATTTTTGGGGTTTAAATTGGAGTCAAAGTTGCAGACACTCAAAAATTTACTCGAAAACTACTGAATTAAATTGGCTGAAAATTTGTGACAATGCCTAATTTGGGATGGGGATCATTTCTTTAATACATCGTGAAGCACGAACATGAGCGGAACATAGGAATTTAGCGAACCCGAAACAGTAATTTTGGATTTTCTATTTTACGGGTTTCCGAGGGTAACTTCTTTTTACTATGGAAAGATGTGCCAAAAAATTCTGCATTGAATGATGTATTTTTCATTTTACCCTCCGGTTCCCTAGTTCCGCTATAAATCATTTACTGCGCGCAAAACAGACCCCAGACTAGGCCAAAATCCGCAAAAATGGCAGATTTTTAAATTGAAAGCATCAAATCGTATCTAGAGAATTAGCTGAATAGATTGCAAAAAAGAGCAAAAAGAAATAATGTTTTTGAAGGGGGGCTGGAATTGAACTCGCGCGACCCCTGGATTGGTAGGCGAGCACTCATGCAATCCACCACGGCTCCAGAGAGGGCTTCCAGGCGAAGGGTCCGAGTTCGATTCCTCCCGGATCTCAGCCTATGTTTAGAAGCCGAATTTCTTTTTGCTCTTTTTTGCAATCGATTCAGCTAATTCTCTAGATACGATTTGATGCTTTCAATTTAAAAATCTGCCATTTTTGCGGATTTTGGCCTAGTCTGGGGTCTGTTTTGCGCGCAGTAAATGATTTATAGCGGAACTAGGGAACCGGAGGGTAAAATGAAAAATACATCATTCAATGCAGAATTTTTTGGCACATCTTTCCATAGTAAAAAGAAGTTACCCTCGGAAACCCGTAAAATAGAAAATCCAAAATTACTGTTTCGGGTTCGCTAAATTCCTATGTTCCGCTCATGTTCGTGCTTCACGATGTATTAAAGAAATGATCCCCATCCCAAATTAGGCATTGTCACAAATTTTCAGTAAATTTAAGTTCAGTAGTTTTCGAGATAATTTTTGAGTGTCTGCAACTTTGACTCCAATTTAAACCCCAAAAATTAACTTTTTTAAACTTTCAAAACTATGCAGTCCTACCAATTCGACCATGCTCTTTCCGATGCCGTCAAAAAAACGGGGTCGAAAAAAACTGTGCCAAGCCATATTGTGGTTTGTTCGGGTGGCTCGCGGACGGCCTTTTAATGCCCTACAAAAATTCCTGAAGATGGTACTGTAGAAAGGTCGAAGCGAGGATAATCCTTTAGGGAAGTCGTGTTTTGTCGGGTACATTTCCATACCGGGTATCCTGGAAATGAGGCCTTGCGCGTGCAATTGAAAGAGGAGCCTGACCGTACTTTGCGCTGGAAACACATTAATTTTATTCCTGATATACAGAACATAAATCTCTCATAATATTTATCGTCCATCATTGTTCATTTTTTATTAAAATTAAGTTATTACAAATTATTGAATTGAACTGATAAAACATTAATTTTATAATTGCTTACTCGACTTCGATGATTAGCCCCGTCTTGGATGTAAATTCAGAGGGCTAAAACGTAGCTATATAAGTTGATAGCTTGACTTACGATCAATTTTTGTTTGGTCGATTTTTCGATCCACTCCTTTGCGTCGGCCTCGTATTTTCCCATGAGCTCCACCCTGTCGACCTCCTTGAAAGTGACGAGGTGCTTTGCCCTCATGTCTTCTACAAGTTTTCGGAGTTCGGAAGTGGATTCTTCCTAGAAATGCTTGCATAATTTTTCTTTTTAGCGTTATGGTGTACCAAATGTTATTTGGTTCTTTGGCATTATCGGGGGGAGGGGAGGCGTGGCCCAACTTTTTTTTTAATTCTAGCAGTGTCTAGTAACTTAATAGTAAGTGTTTTTAAAATTTTTTTGGTAACATATAACTATTTTTCAACTAGCAACCTATTCAAAAACTTTTAAAAAGTCGAAATTTTTATTCAAAAACGGCCAATTTTGGTCGAAAAATTCATAGTTTTAGACAGTTTTAATCAAAATTTGATAGGTTAATTTAGTAATAGTAAAAAAGTAAAAGTAGGAACCCTTTCACTATTTATAGTGTTTAGAAAACATATGTTTTGACGTAGAGCGAAGTCGCGACTCCTCGAAATGAAGCATTAATTGATCAGGATGTGGTTAAACCCATCATTTTTGTAGGACCCATTATTACAAAATTTAAAAGAATAGACTTTATGACGACTAGAAGCAAAAATTAACCATTTTTAAATGATGTTTCAAAACATCATCTGGCGCAATTCACTAAAAATCGAATATTAGCTCGTTGGTTGTATTAAGGCTCATTGCGCGTAATCGATTGACTAATGCCGCCCCTATCCCTTTAAAGCAAAAGCCCAATTTTTTTCCGCAATTTCATGAATTCAAGGTTATTTTAGGGGATTTACAAGCTTACAAAAAAAATTGCTTTTAGATTTTTTGACGGTTCAGTTGTTTTTAAAAACATATGTTTTAGGGCGGGATCGGTTGTCGACTTTTCTGAAGCCGACTATTGACTGAGCGTTCTAGAGTTCATTTTCAAAAGTCTTTTACCATTTTCTTCACAGCAACTCGACGAATGACAAGTAGCGAGTCGTAAATTTTATTTGGAGAATTTGGCATCGGCTGAGCGTGACGTGTTTGCCGTTATCGATTTTTTTTCTGCTGACTAGACATTTTCTATCGCAGGAAAAAGGCTGTGGCTTATCAAAAGAGCGAGAGAGAGAGCGAGAGAGAGAGAGAGAGAGAGAGAGAGAGAGAGAGAGAAGGAGTAAGAGAGAAAAGTGGTGTCGTTGACGCACCCAAGGCGTGTGATCCCAAAATTGCGAAACCTTCTCGCATGAGCTGAAATAAGCATTGCTGCGGAGCAATAGCAACCAAACGGAAATCTTAAGAAAAAATGTGTTTCGACAAGTGGTCAAAACAAAAAAAAATTTTGTTAAATTTTATTAAATATTAATCTGTTATTAATACCCCGACGCCTCCTCCCGCAGGGCTCGCGACAACGAATTGGTATTTGACGTTTCTTCCGCTAGTCGATTCTTAAAGTACGGTATCTTTCGTAGAATTGCCAAGCGGAACGGCCGCGTCACGGTCAGCATCACCAACACGTTCACGTTAGAATGGGTGCCGAAAATCGCCGAGCACCAGTACGTCATGCCTAAAGAAACAGGACAAATATGAAAAAGCGCCCTCTCCTCTTCCTCAACAATCTCTGCTAGCCTGCCCTCTCCTCTTCCTCAACAATCTCTGCTAGCCTGCCCTCTCCTCTTCCTCAACAATCTCTGCTAGCCTGCCCTCTCCTCTTCCTCAACAATCTCTGCTAGCCTGCCCTCTCCTCTTCCTCAACAATCTCTGCTAGCCTGCCCTCTCCTCTTCCTCAACAATCTCTGCTAGCCTGCCCTCTCCCTCTTCCTCAACAATCTCTGCTAGCCTGCCCTCTCCCTCTTCCTCAACAATCTCTGCTAGCCTGCCCTCTCCTCTTCCTCAACAATCTCTGCTAGCCTGCCCTCTCCTCTTCCTCAACAATCTCTGCTAGCCTGCCCTCTCCTCTTCCTCAACAATCTCTGCTAGCCTGCCCTTTCTTTAATTTATAGAAGCGTTATACTTTGAGCATTATCGTATCCCAACACGAAAATCACAATTGCAACCATGACCGGCAGAAAATATACGGTAAACGGGAAAGTGGCCTGAAAAAAATGTTTTAATGCCAGTCATGTATTAAGCGCATTAGGACGTCGCTAATCGACATACGATCCAGCACTGTGTTTTTTAACTCCTTAAGAAAATTCTAAAATACCTGGAGCACCAGCGACGTGAGAAACTAGCGGTGTGAGTTGTAGCTCTTCGAGCTGAGCAGCGACTGGTACTGCAAAAAAATCTTTGAAGGTGAATGTTTCGGAAACATCTTAAGGTAAAAATTTATCAGAAGGATGAATTTTGTGTGCTGGCCTGACGTACTTTGCCTCTCACAAAAAATCGCAAAGGGACGCCTCCAAAACAATTCGAAATCTTGATTTAGTTTTAGCATCTACTTTAGATTTGTATGAATTTTAATCAATCAAAAAGATAAATAATTTGATAAAATATTTTCCGAATCGATCAAATGTAATGTTTCAAAACTTTTCAAACCAAAAAAAATTGCGGCGCCAATGTTCATTTTATTCACCTTTTTCAACGAATGAAGCACGGCCAAAAATCCCGAAAAGCGCCATACCAAGCATCACGATAATGCCGACAGTCCACAGGATCAGGATGTAGATAACGTCGTCGTTCTGTAAAAATAGTACTTATGATCAATAAAGTGTGAAATTCTGATAAATTTCGGCGACTAAAAAAAGGATATTTAAGGAGAAGGCTAAAATAAGAGTTTTTAAATTTGCTATTGAAATTTGCTGTGTTCCTCGAAAAATTATCGAAAAGTTAAAAATCGAAACAAAGAAAGACACATATAGGAAAATCGAAAAAACTTGGAAAAGTTCTGTTTAAAAACGACAATTTGAGTAGTTTACAGGCTTTGTTAATCCGACTGAGCCCTCAAATGAAGCATGTTTCAGAAAAGTCTCCATCGAAAGCAGGCTAATACAGATCAATTTATGTAATTTCCGATCTGCTACTAATCTTTCTAGCCTCTTTATCGACCATAAATAATTATGTGCTATAAAAATTCTATAAAAATTAACACCAATTCGTCAATAAATTTTCTAAAAAAATCAATGTGGCACGAAAAACCATTCAGCGGTTCTGGGTTTGGTTGTTAATAACGGCAGAATAAGACAATCATAAGACTGAATGTTTGCGTCTCATCATCATTTTTAAAATTAAAATTCAATTTAAATTTATTAAGCTTCTCAAAAATTCATGGAAAATCTTAGTATCTATTAAAACAAACCTGATCCATCGGAAAAATCATCCAATTCGTGTAGTTTAACATATAGGAATATTCCGGGTAATTCTAAAACTATTTTCTTGTAGTATTTTTCAGTGGTAATATTAAATATATTTTTTTATTAAATTAGGTGTAATTTAGTAATTATTTAATCATTTTATATTATTTAAAATATATAGTATTTTTCAGGTTTAACGTACCTTTAAAATATAGGCATATTGGACTTCTTTCGGCTGTTTAGCCTGCCCGACCACGACCACATTCGGGAATATCAAGCAGATGTGGCAGAACAGGCACGTCTGAAACGTTTTAATTTTACGAAGTTCGAAGAAATTTTTTTCTCAAAATTTTTCAAATGTTTCAAGACAATTCTAATAAATTCGGGTTTTCCAGTCATTAATGTTGAGTCATACTTGCTGTAAAACTTCACAAAAATAAACATCTAACAACAGCATGTAAATAATTTTTGCAAAATAAAAATCTTTCTTGAAGATATGGGCAAATTATGGCTATCCCTTTGAAAAGAACTTTCTTCGGGAAAAATGGAAATGTTTTAGGGAGAAGCGTGACGCGCTCCATAGTTTTAATTTTAATTTTTTTCAGCGAGCTTTTTCCAACATTAAAATCCGTACTATCGGAAATTATATAAAACAAAATAAACTCTGGATTTTTGCCATTTTAATAATATTAAAACTCGACAATTTCCTATTTTAAGACGAAGGGGCAAGAATGTTCCATCAAATTCGGAATGTTTCAAAATAATTATATCAAAAATTTGTGAAGTTAGGTTTAGTTCTTGATAAATTACATTTCCACAATCTTTTTTCGAAAAATTATACTTCGACAAAATGATTTTCGACAAAAAAATTAACACCGGTTTTGAAATACGAAATTCAGAAAAAGCCTTTGATTAATAAAAATCTTAATTAGCATTTTTTAATCCGGATATCCTCCCAAATTTCCCTCCATTTCCCGGTATAAAATTAGGCGACCTGGGGAAATCCACCACTCCCTCTCCATCACCCTCTCCACACCCTCTCGCCCACTCGAAGCAATGCTCTGGCTCGTCGGCTCGGCGGGCGTCGGCGCCCTGGCGCTCGCGCAATGCGGCAAGGGACGCACCCAGGTATGCAAATTTTTATGCAAATTATAGCGCATTTGTAGAGCTAAAAATTTTGCATAGATTAGTGTGTTTCAACAAAGAACCTAAATCTCCCACACCTTCGAAAAATAATTAATATAGTAAGATGACGAAAGGCGACAAATGGTTTCGGCCTTAAAATTAGCATGTTTTGCATAAATATTACGTAAGCTACATAGAAAGATGCGGAATTTTTTTGAACGATACCATTAACATAATGTAATGTCCATAGTAACCCTATGAAAAACCCGAAAATCCGAAAACGCGATTTGAATATTTCGTTTGGCCTTAAAATTTGCATCTTTTGCATAAAATATATGTAAGCTACATACAAATATGCGCCTTTTTTCGTGCTTCAAAATGGTACCCTTTTCATAGCGTAATTCCTACAGTAACCCTCAAGCAACCCGGAACTTCAGACGAAGAAGGACTCGAAGAAGTCGCTGCGGCCGGGCAGCAAGTCGGCCCGCTCGACGGCGTCGAAGCGGCGTTCCGCGTCGCGCAAGGCCGGGTCGAAGAGCAGCCGCTCGGCCAAGTCGAGCAAGTCGGCCAAGTCGCGCAAGGCCAAGTCGTCGAAGGGGCCGAGCAGCAAGAGCGGCCGGAAGAGCGGCAGCGCCTCGTCGAAGAAGAGCACGTCGGCGTCGCGTCGTCAGAAGAAGTCGCTGGGCGCCGGGCTGGCCACTGCCGTTGACAAGGTATGCGGTGGGATACGGTACGCACCACTACGGTAGACACCGGTGCGTACCGGGCGCATCCTTGAGTACTCGAGACGTACGGAAACTTGCTCGGGCCTAGATGGCGCGTAATGGTGCGTAGCCTAAGCGTAAGGTGGCGTATTGCTACGGAATCGAACCGTATTGGTGCGCAATAGCTCCGTAATGGCGCTCGCTGGTGCTTACTTGTATGTACTTCTGCGTACTGACACGTAATGCTACGTACTGGCGCGTAATGCTGCCTACCGTACCCTCCAACGCACCCCTTTTCAGTCGAACAAGTCCGACAAGGAGAAGTGCAAGACGGCCGTCTGCCCGAGCGACAAGGAGACGAAGGTCGACGTCGCCGCCCAGGCCAAGGAGCTCCAGGACAAGGTATCGGAGACCCATTTCGTCACTTTAATCCCCCCCGACGTCTTCAAGGTGGGCGGTGCCGCGCCGAAGACGGTGGAGATGCGCATGCAGCCGGCGGAACTCGTGTGGAAGCAGAACGGCGGCGTCAAGCAGGTCCACATCGTCAACAACTCGAAGGAGCGCCGCGCCGTCAAGGTATTGTATTTGATTACGGATTACGGAAATCGGTTACGACATCTAATTACACTGGACATTCGATTACGCCACCAAATTTGCAGGTGAAGTGCACGGATAACCTGCTGTACCGCGTGCACCCGGTGTGCGGCTTCGTCGACCCGGGCGAGTCGTACAAGGTCGAGGTGCTGCGCAACAACGGATCCACCAAGTCGGACGTGCTCCTCTTCATGACCACTAAGGTACGCAGGGGGACCTGACTTTCGGAGCTTTGGCATTAACGGGGGCGGAGGGTGGTCCTAAACGAAAGAATTCAAACTTCTTGTGAAAAATACGAAAAATTTGCATTTATACAGAATCTTTAAGGCGCTTAAAATAATTTTCATTAGTAGGCTTATATGCCCCCTCCCCCGATAATGCCAAAGCTCCAAGTCGAGCTCAATGCTCCCTATCCATTTACGCCATCTATTTGCAGGCTGGCGAGCAGAAGGAGGCGCGCGAATGCTTCGCCGACAAGGCCCAGCAAAACGAGATGCTCGTCCTGCCGATGCTCCCCGAGAAGGACGACGTGGCCGTCTAGAGACGACGCGACGCAACACGCAACGCAACGATCCGCCCTCCCTCCCGCTCGGCCTCCTGTCTGCCCCATTGTTGTACACCTCCCTCCCTCTCGCTCCCCAATTCGTGTATATCGCTTGCTCCCCTCAAAAGGGCTCATCCTCCCCATTCTCGGTTTTCTAATCACTGGGTGTGAACATTTTAAAAAACGCTTCGACAATGCAAATAAAGCGTTGCTTCTGTCTGTGTATGTCGAGTTGTCTCTCTCTGGCACTCTTTCTCTCTATCGCTCTCTGGCCCTCTCTCTCTCTCTGTATCTCTGTATCTCTCTCTCTTTCTCTCTCTCTATTTCTCTCTATCTCTCGCACTCTCTCTCTTCCTGGCTCTCTGTATCTCTCTCGCACTGGCCTTGGCTCAATTTCTGGCGCTCTCTCAGTTTCTCTGTCTCTCCGGCTCACTCTCTCACTCTCTGCCGCTCTCTTCTTGGATCTCACGCCTCTCCCGCTCACTCTGGCGCTATTTCTCGTGTTCTCGCTCGCTCGCTCGCGCTCTAGCTGCCTCTCCTGCGAGTTGAGCAGGAGTCTGAACTCTACCGGAAAGGTGGGAGACTCGGCTGGGCTCTATCTCTCTCTTGCTCTCTCGCTCTTTCGCTTTCTGGCTCTCCTGCTCTCTGGCTCTCTATATCTATCTCCGACATGAGTCTGAACGTTACCGTAAAAGTGCGAGAGAGAGAGGAGAGAAATAAATAGAGAGATCACTAGCTCCCCGCACGACTGTAACCTACCGCCAGCATATTCCTCGGGCTTCTGGAGAACCATAACGTCGGCTCGATGGCCCACCAGCGGTAGAGGAAGGAGATGACCAACGACATTGAGCAGTTTTCGACGATTACCAAGGCAGCCACCTTAAAAAAGGGGCAGGCTAGGGGCAGCTTTGAAGAAGGTGATCCACGCTAGGTTTTCTGAAGGTTGTCTATCCTACAGTAGTCGGCCATCTGGCCCATTCTGGCGTCGAGTCCATAATGCAGGTAAGTGATGTGTATCCGCCAGGTAATGGAAAAAGCCCAACAGGGCAAAAATAGAAATTGAGGTAGACGTCGAGGAGAAAGGACCAAAACTGGAAAAGCGTGTTTTGATAGAAAAAGTAGTCCCGGAATTATTCCACGAAATAATGTGCATCGAGCAGAGATTGCTGAGGAAGAAGAGAGGGCAGGCTAGCAGAGATTGTTGAGGAAGAGGAGAGGGCAGGCTAGCAGAGATTGTTGAGGAAGAAGAGAGGGCAGGCTAGCAGAGATTGTTGAGGAAGAGGAGAGGGCAGGCTCAGATTGTTGAGGAAGAGGAGAGGGCAGGCTAGCAGAGATTGTTGAGGAAGAGGAGAGGGCAGGCTAGCAGTTGTTGAGGAAGAGGAGAGGGCAGGCTAGCAGAGATTGTTGAGGAAGAGGAGAGGGCAGGCTAGCAGAGATTGTTGAGGAAGAAGAGAGGGCAGGCTAGCAGAGATTGTTGAGGAAGAGGAGAGGGCAGGCTAGCAGAGATTGTTGAGGAAGAAGAGAGGGCAGGCTAGCAGAGATTGTTGAGGAAGAGGAGAGGGCAGGCTAGCAGAGATTGTTGAGGAAGAGGAGAGGGCAGGCTAGCAGAGATTGTTGAGGAAGAGGAGAGGGCAGGCTAGCAGAGATTGTTGAGGAAGAGGAGAGGGCAGGCTAGCAGAGATTGTTGAGGAAGAAGAGAGGGCAGGCTAGCAGAGATTGTTGAGGAAGAGGGAGAGGGCAGGCTAGCAGAGATTGTTGAGGAAGAGGAGAGGGCAGGCTAGCAGGGATTGTTGAGGAAGAGGAGAGGGCAGGCTAGCAGAGATTGTTGAGGAAGAGGAGAGGGCAGGCTAGCAGAGATTGTTGAGGAAGAAGAGAGGGCAGGCTAGAGAGATTGTTGAGGAAGAGGAGAGGGCAGGCTAGCAGAGATTGTTGAGGAAGAGGAGAGGGCAGGCTAGCAGAGATTGTTGAGGAAGAGGAGAGGGCAGGCTAGCAGAGATTGTTGAGGAAGAAGAGAGGGCAGGCTAGCAGAGATTGTTGAGGAAGAGGAGAGGGCAGGCTAGCAGAGATTGTTGAGGAAGAGGAGAGGGTAGGCTAGCAGAGATTGTTGAAGAAGAGGAGAGGGCAGGTTAGCAGAGATTGTTGAGGAAGAGGAGAGGGCAGGCTAGCAGAGATTGTTGAGGAAGAGGAGAGGGCAGGCTAGCAGAGATTGTTGAAGAAGAGGAGAGGGCAGGCTAGCAGAGATTGTTGTGGAAGAGGAGAGGGCAAGCTAGCAGAGAATGTTGACGAGGCTCACCAAAATGTTGCTCAAAAAATATCGATAAGCCGCCATTTCCGCAGAGGAATACTTGAAGATGATAAACGTCGCGAAGGAGTTCAATAAAATTACGATACACCCGTTCACCTTCCAGTAGATGCTCAGCCACAGCGGCTCGAACAGGGTCAGCACCATCTGAACAAAAAGGTACGTTTTAGTCGAACAAGCATCGAACAGGTTATTAAGAATAAAAGTCCTATTTTGTCAACGTGGTTTTTTTGAAACATTTTTCGATTTTAACAAGCTAAACGGACTTTTTATTGAAAATTAGAAGTATTTTTAAGGTAGTAATAATCGGCCAATTTTCAATAAAAAACCCAAAAATCGCACAAACCCTCAATAGACCTGGGGATCAATTAGTGTGCTTCACAAAAATCTGATAACCTTGGGGCGGCTGAAATCTGTTTGCACCTGCTTGCATTGAAAAACTGGAAGCGTCGCCCGCAGATATGTCTGTCAGAACTACCAAATCTAAATCGTTGTTTTCGAAAAAATTATTATATACTGGATTCTAGAAACATAATTGTGCAACCAAATCTGTAAGTTTATTTATTACAATATTAAAAACCAAATCAGGGTTCTTGCCATTTTTAGTTAGTGAAAATTTCTAATATTTTAGTTTAGTGGTTGCTTTAGCCGTTTCAAAAAATATCGATAATTGGCACCGGATAATTCATCCATATGGTTATTTACAAGAATTTTCAAGATGGATATCGAGGATTGCAACGCCCGAAAAAGATTTAGCCCAGTTTTTTGTCGAAACACAATTTTTTAAACAATCGTGCGCAAATTTTAAAAAGGGTGTTTCGGCGATTTCTGAAGATAAATTAAAACAGCTTAGCCTAGATTTGATGACGTCAATTGCGGATTTGGTAGACTGTTTTTAAATATTTCTGAACCCAAAACTTGGTAAATATTTGAGATTTTGGGCTGCCATTAAACTTTTGGTATATTTTTAATGCTCTGTCGAATAGAATATACAAAATGCTGAAAAATAGCGAAATTATCGAAAAATAACTATTTGACACCGTGGTCACCGGTCATTTTTGGGTATGCTATAACTTTTTTATATGACAAAATTTTGGGTTGTGATTAAAACGCTGAGTATATTTTTCGGCGCTATCGAAAGGCGTGGCGAATATCGCGAAAAAAATAACGGAATGCTCAAAAATTTTGGGTCCTTGTCCCGAAAAAAATTGTTTCAACAATTCAAGCAGGCCAATTCCAAGTGTTATTCCATTATTAGGACTTCTCCGGAAACCATTAAAATAGAAAATTATTATTTTGCACTCGCCATCTTTTAGCCGATCGAGGACGGTTTTTATGGGGCTGCGGCGTTTGATTGGCCGCTAAATTGCTGTGATGTGATGATTTTTCAAAGCCATATATTTTGAAAAAGTTTTCTTTTTTATGGCATGCTTTCGTATTCAAGCAAGAAACTTTGAAATTTAAATTTAATGAATTTAAAGCGAAGGTAAAATTTACATACAATTCCCAAGTAAACTGTTTTCCAAAAGTTAGCCTGTTGATCATTTTTCCAGGAAACACATTATTTGGAAAAGTTTGATATTGGCTTGAATAAAATTACAGCCAATAAAAAAAAATGCGAAATAAAATGTAACATAAATTAACCCGTAATATTTATTGAACACGATAATCATAAAAATCAGCGATGACAAGGCGAAAAACGAGCGCAGATAATTCACTATTAAAGGGAGCGTGACAGGTGGCCATGTGGGCCGAGATAGAAGCTGTGTATTCGGAATTTTTGTCTAATTTTTCGGACATCAGGAAAGGGCTTTAAAGGGGCGTTGAAGCGGTCGGAAAGGGGGCGTGGCCTAGGCGATCGTGCAGCCGAGGCCCTTCTTCGCGGCGTCATCGCGCGGCCGATCGGCTGGAGTTGGGCGGCTGATATATCCCATCTGCACCGGCATGTCTGCAATCCATGGAGGTTTTATAATTTACTACGCTGTAACTTAATAAGAAAATTCTACCAATAAAGCGCTGAAATCAAATTTTTGGGTTTTTTTGGTCGATTTTGGCTCATTAGCATTAGGGGGAACATAATTTCTTCTTAGGAGCCAGTTTTTAAAATATTTTTTTTGCTTTTTGCTTGAATTTTTTGATCGCTGTTCCACTTAAAAAATAGTTATTTTACTAAAAAACGATTAAAAAACATACTTCTAAGTCTGAAACCCTAGAAAAATAGAACTTCTAAAAAAAATCAAAATTATTGTAAATCGTAATCGCTCTATTTCGCAAAACAATGTTTTAGAATATTTACAGAAGTCGTGTCGGCTAGTTTTAATATTGCATGGATTGGTCTGATCGTGCTTGATAAAATTCGGGAGTAGCTGATTAATTTGGTTTTTTTTAAACCTTTAATCAAATTTATTGTCATTTGAAAAACCATGTTTCGACAAAAGGAAACGCGGCATGAAAGAGCAACGGCAATCCACTGTCTGCCGACTGGCTGACTTGACAAATCCACCCACTAATGGCCTTGTCGATGAGGATGATGACGAACGGGTGGTCGACTATGTAGCGTGTGTAATCGGCGGGCACTGGAGGGAGAGGGACAGGGCGAGATCTGCAAAGAATCTCTGCTAGCCTGCCCTCTCCACTTCCTCAACAATCTCTGCTAGCCTGCCCTCTCCTCTTCCTCAACAATCTCTGCTAGCCTGCCCTCTCCTCTTCCTCAACAATCTCTGCTAGCCTGCCCCTCTCCTCTTCCTCAACAATCTCTGCTAGCCTGCCCTCTCCTCTTCCTCAACAATCTCTGCTAGCCTGCCCTCTCCTCTTCCTCAACAATCTCTGCTAGCCTGCCCTACCCCTTTCTGCGCGACAGATCGGCAATGTCGAACAGATCGTGGTGCTGGATGGCCGGCGGGAGCGTCGAGGACGGGGCACTAAAATTTAAAATTGAACCAGCGCTGACCCCCCGCTACGCGGGGGTTCAGCGCTGGCCTTCTTCCCCCCAAAAAAAATTGAATTTGGAATTTGAATGTAAAATTTGGCTGAATTCCCGGTCGGTCGGGCGTACGGACATTAGAAATTTATATATAGTAGATTAAAGAGTTTTGGAAATAACTTTCCGCAAATAAACTCTGCTAGCCTGCCCCCAATTTTGAATTTCGCTGACCTATCCGGCTGGGCCAAATCCTCAAAGCCGCCGGGGACGAACAGCTGGTTGTAGATATACGGGTTGTCACGGAGTTCACTCTAAATTTCTATTTTCAAATTTTCGAGCACTTTTAGCCGGTCTTATTGCTGAAAATTTCAATTTTAAAATAACTACATTTAAAAATCTATATCTCTGTCAATTTTTTATAGATATACAGGGTGTCCCAAAAAAAAACGACCCATCTGGCATTTTGCCGTGTTACATCCAATCGGCCCCAGATTTGGACCAGAGGTGTATCAGACCCCAAATAACAACAATCCTGACTTATAGCCCGGTAGCTACAGCCGTTTTCGAGTTATGGCAAAAGTAAACTTTATTTTCCATTTTTCATAGGCTTTTCGTGGAATTAGACCCCTAAACATTAAGTGAAAATGATCCGGAAGGCGTTCTTTACCTTCAGGAATTTTTCCAGAGTAAAATTTATTAAATAAGCTTCGATTTAAGCGATTTTTACAACGCAAAATTACCCAAGTTCTTAAGCGAAATTAGGGATTCGCAGCCGGAAGTCGATGCAAATCGATGCAAAGTCCAAAAAGATAGCCGAAAAAACCGTTCAGAATTCCGGGAAAAGCAGTATTTTCGTTATAACTCGAGAACGACTGTAGCTACGGGGCTATAAGTCAGGATTGTTGTTATTTAGGGTCTGATACACCTCTGGTCCAGATTTTGGGCCGATTGGATGTAACACGGCGAAATGCCAGATGGTTCGTTTTTTTTTGGGACACCCTGTAGATCTTTATGATTACGCGGTGATGAATTAGCAAGGCAGAACTTCGTAAATCTCTAAAAATTTTTTGAAACATTTTTTCCTAAAAAAGTTTTTCGATCTTTTCGAACTTAAGCCATATAAATTTATATTGTCAAATAATAAATAAAACTGTTTAATTATTCGGAATTAACACCAAATAAATATACTCCACCTGAAAGGCCTCGGCAATGTTGGCGGCTCGGCCCGGCTGGTCCCACACCGGCAGAATCAGCGACTTGTACTCCTTCGACTGGAAATTACGACACCATATTTTTTATTTAGTTTAATAATAGAATTATAACAGTAACGAAATATTTGATTTATTTGGAAGTTACGATGTGTCAAATCAGTTGGGTGCTTAAAAATTTTCGATTTTTAATGCTATACGAAACATTTTTATTTAAATACAACTTTGCTAGTTTTTCTCGGTATCAAATAATATCAATAAGCTAACATAAAATAAAAATAATAAGATTAATTTGCTTAGTAATAATACATCATTTTTGTTTTTCTTTAACTTTAAATTATAGAAAACTACCGTACCACTTCCGTATTGAGGCGTAGCTTGCGCAACAGCTCCGTGAAGTGAGCCTTACTCGCCAGCAACTCGGTCATGTTCTGCAAAAAGTAAATTAGATAGAGAGAGAGAGGAATAATGCGAGAGAGAGAGAGAGAGAGAGAGAGCGAGCAAGAAAGGGAGAGAGCTAGAGAGGGGGAGAGAGAGCGAGAGAGATTCTCATACCTTCTGAATGATATAAATCGTTAGCGCGTCGTGAACGGTGGGCACCGTCAGCACGTCGTGGCGATCTCAAAAAAATGTGTCACCATCCCTTTAAAATTATTTATTTCCGATTGCCTTTATTAGCTATGAAAAAACTGCTTTTTTATGTTTTCCGAATTATACAGTCTTTTTGCTAAATTTTTTAATCAATTTGAAGCAATCTCCTGAAAATTCTCACCAATCTGGAACAGCTTGACGGAGTCGGCCTTGAATGAGCGAATCTCGCCGGCCAGCACGTCGACGGGGAGGCCCTGTTTAACAAAAGTTTTTTTCGGCTTTAAAATGGCACAACCTATGGTAAAATTGAGACTCCCCGAGTTTCTTTCTTTTTAAACGGTGATGAAACATTGTCTTTTTCATATCGGTTTTTCCCATGCGACTGAATTAAATTTTTTCCTAAAGTTTCTATAAAAATTGAAAACAGAGCTCAACGCTGTTTTTAAAACTCAAAAGTCGTTAGAGTTTCAGCGTTCGATTGGCCGTCAATTTTACAAAAACATTTTTCGATGCGTGTTTTCGAATAAATGCATTATGGAATTGATGTTTCACGTAAAGTCTCTGAAAAGACAGTATCACAGCTCGTATTAGGCAACGACGTGCGCCTCCAACCTCAAAAGGAACACGAAACATTTCGTTTTGGTTGACGTCCGGCAGGCGGATCACCAGATTCGACGCCGTCGTGATGATCGGGCAACGGCGGCTGCGCTCGATTCGGGCCAGCTCGTCCTACAAAAAAGTTGTACGTTCTATTGCATTATCGCGGGTGGCAACCATACAACTTTTTTAAAAACAAAAATATCCATTTTCCGTCAAAATTCGCCGATTCACGAACAAAATTTCGAAATGAGCAGCTTTTGAAAGTTTTTAGAATTTTTCGACTTGAAATAGCGCCAAATTTGCCCCAAAATACTATTAAAAATACTTATTATAACTGAAGATATATTGTATTTCAAAAAGCAAAAAGTTCCGCACCCGGCGGGATTGAACTCGGGCCTTGTAGGTGGGATGCCAACCCACTACCAATCCGCCATACGGCCAATGGTAAAATTTAGTTTTTCTTGAGCAAAAAGCAAAAAGTTCAGCATCCCGGGGGGATCGAACTCGGGCCATGTGGGTAGGAGGCTAGCACGTTACCAATCAACCACGCGGAAAATTCGTTAAATTTGATTGATTTAATTTAATTTTTCAAATCGTAATTGACTAATTTAAATTCTCTAACCAGCACCTTGTTCTTCTGCGGTTCCTTGGTCTGCTCCTCAGGCGACTCCGGCCACAGCATGAACACCTCGGGCGGGCTGGTGGGGCGCTGGAAAAATCGGCTTTACAGTTCAATCAAAAAAATTAAAACGTTATGAAAAATCAAATCACAAGAATAGCTAGTTCTTTAAATTAGGACTTTTATAAGAAAACTGCAATTTAATTTTAAAAAAATTAGAAAATTGCCTACAATATTCTCAGCGGCCAGCCACTCGTTGACGTCCGGCGATTTCAGGATCTGAAAAAATGCAGATTTTAAAAAATCTGCCCTCTATATTCCCCTTCTATTTATAATTACTTTTTAAAATACCTAAGAATAATTATTCAGCAATCATTAAAAAAAAAACAAATTTCTTCCGAGATTCAAAATCAATGTTTCGCGCAACATTAAGAAAATCGCACTTTATCAAATCCTAATCGAACCGTATATTTTAAGTAAAAACACAGGAAAAATTAGCACGTTTTTAATATAACTTTTGATCTAAAATCTGGAGAATCGAGATTTTCTGGTAACCAAAATAATAAAAAAGCTTCGAAAGCTTCCAAAAAATAATTAAAAAAGCTTAGAAACACCCCCTCTATTATGGTTTTCGAAGTTCTTCGAATCCAAGTCAATTTTTGGGAAAGAATTCATGTTTCATGGAGAAATAAAAATAACGCATGATCGCCCAAATCGATATGGCTCAAAAGCGTTCATCTTTAACAGCATTTCGCTGTATAATGCCTTCAAAGATAAAACACGAAATGTCGGAATCAAACCACATGTTTCAGAAAAAAATTAAAAAGGATGAAAATTTGGGTTTGGTAATTGTAGCCTTCTACACTTCAATAAAATTTGTTATACCAACTAAATTTTAATTTAATGCAGACCAATATGCTCACCTTCACCTGAAAACCCAGGTCGGATAGGACGAGGAACGTCGCGTAGCTGTAGCTTTTCGTGAAGTCGGGGTGGACAAGGATGCGACGGGCCGCGAAATCTAGCGCAAATGGCTTTTTAAAAATCCTGAAAGACTTTCCAATTTTTATAATTTTACTATACAAATTAATGTACGTTTTAAGCAGAGCGGGGCGAGCTGCTTGAACCAGTTGGCCAGGAAGTTGGCCACCTCGGTAGCGGCCGTCCTGCTGACCACCTCGGTGCCGAAGAGACGATTACGCAGCTGGTTGGCCACCTGGAAAATGCGCAAATTGTCTCTGCTAGCCTGCCCTCTCCTCTTCCTCAACAATCTCTGCTAGCCTGCGCTCTCCTCTTCCTCAACAATCTCTGCTAGCCTGCCCTCTCCTCTTCCTCAACAATCTCTGCTAGCCTGCCCTCACCTCTTCCTCAACAATCTCTGCTAGCCTGCCCTCTCCTCTTCCCTCAACAATCTCTGCTAGCCTGCCCTCTCCTCTTCCTCAACAATCTCTGCTAGCCTGCCCCCTCCTCTTCCTCAACAATCTCTGCTAGCCTGCCCCTCCTCTTCCTCAACAATCTCTGCTAGCCTGCCCTCTCCTCTTCCTCAACAATCTCTGCTAGCCTGCCCTCTCCTCTTCCTCAACAATCTCTGCTAGCCTGCCCTCTCCCCTCTCTCCTCAACAATCTCTGCCTAGCCTACCCTCTCCTCTTCCTCAACAATCTCTGCTAGCCTGCCCTCTCCCTCTTCCCCTCAACCAATCTTTGCTAGCCTGCACTTTCCTCTTCCTCAAAATCTTTGCTAGCCTGCCCCTCTCCTCTTCCTCAACAATCTCTGCCTAGCCTGCCCTCTCCTCTTCCTCAACAATCTCTGCTAGCCTGCCCTCTCCTCTTCCTCAACAATCTTTGCTAGCCTGCACTTTCCTCTTCCTCAAAAATCTTTGCTAGCCTGCCCTCTCCTCTTCCTCAACAATCTCTGCTAGCCTGCCCTCTCCTCTTCCTCAACAATCTCTGCTAGCCTGCCCTCACCTCTTCCTCAACAATCTCTGCTAGCCTGCCCTCTCCTCTTCCTCAACAATCTCTGCTAGCCTGCCCTCTCCTCTTCCTCAACATCTCTGCTAAGCCTGCCCTCTCCTCTTCCTCAACAATCTCTGCTAGCCTGCCCTCTCCTCTTCCTCAACAATCTCTGCTAGCCTGCCCTCTCCTCTTCCTCAACAATCTCTGCTAGCCTACCCTGCTCCTCTTCCTCAACAACCTCTGCTAGCCTGCCCTCTCCTCTTCCTCAACAATCTTTTGCTAGCCTGCACTTTCTCTTCCTCAAAATCTTTGCTAGCCTGCCCCTCTGCCTCTTCTTCAACAACTCTGCTAGCCTGCCCTCTCCCTCTTCCTCAACAATCTCTGCTAGCCTGCCCTCTCCTCTTCCTCAACAATCTCGAGCTAGCCTGCCCCTCCTCTTCCTCAACAATCTCTGCTAGCCTGCCCCTCCCTCTTCCTCAACAATCTCTGCTAGCCTGCCCTCTCCCCTCTTCCTCAACAACTTCTGCTAGTCCTGCCCTCTCCTCTTTCCTCAACAATCTCAGCCCTACCTTCGTATCAGCAGCATTAGTTTAGCAGCGAGTAGGTGGCGATCAACTGCGGCACGTTCAGGAAGCAATTGCTATTTTGTGGGTTCGACGCCATCGCGCTGAAAGGTCGAAAAATTAAATTGCAAGCGTTCGTGAGAATTTTTGAAACGAAAGAATTGAAACTTGAAAAGAAAAAAAGAAAAACTATTTCTCGCAAGATAGAGGCTACATTATTTTGAGAGAAAAATATGTTTCGCTAAAATTTACAAATCGTGGTTCCTGCGGGTTTCCAATCAGATATTCTGAACGTTCAAAGTTATGCCAAATGACGATCGGAAAATTCGAGATTCTGATTTTCGAGATTTTGATGATTGATAGATCCCCCACCGCTAACAGTCCCGTACCAAGGAAGCCTACTTAAAAATTCCAAGCGCAATGTTGGTGGCGTTTGCCTGGCGGGTGACCTCGAGGGCTTGCTGCAAATTATCGGGCGGATCGTCGCGTGCCGTGATCAATCGGGAGCTGCAAAAATATAGGTTTCAAAAATTTGGATAATTCCGAAAAACATAATCAACCCACATTTTCGATGAGGCGGCCATCGCGCATCCTTGACAGTCGAGAGAATGGCTTGGTTTTTGAGAAAAAGGGTCAAGAATTTGAATAAATTATTTAAATGTTGGAGGAATCAACATTTTAGATGAATGAGGATGAAGCTCAAAAAATAGCCAGGTTACTATATTGTCGTTTCAGGAGCCGGCCGCTATATTGGGTGGGTTTTTCGTTATCTCTCTCTCTCTCTCTCTCTCTCTCTCTCTCTCTCTCGTGCTAACTCTCTCCATCCTGCTCTGGCTCACACTCTAAATATCTATCTCATCCTCTCGCTCTCTCACTCTTTCGTCTCTCTCTCTCTCCCTCTCTCTGTCTATCTCTCTCTTTATCTCTCTATCCCTCTCTCACTCTCTCTCTCTCCACTAAAAAAACATTGTTTCAGACCCTCTACTCCCCATCGCCTCCCTCGCCTGGGTTTCGGCCGTACTGCTCGCCGTCGCCGGCTGCCTCCGAAATCGCGGCACAAAACATGAGCAGTCCGTCGAGTCGACCACCTTCGTGCAGGTACCCGGGCCCTTTAAAACAAAAAGCAAAAGGGTGACGACGGCGGGAATTGAACCCGGACCTTGTGGATAAAAGGCTTGAGCTTTACCAAGAGCCATGGCTGTCGAAAGGAATTTTTTCGACAAAAATTTTAGTTTTAAACGGTTTTTAAAAGTAAATAAAAATTACCCCTCCGCTAACAGTACAGTACCCGCCGTGTTTAGCGCCACGTGCCCGACGTCCCCCACGATGACTTTCTGAAGACCGTGCACCGGAACGTCACATACACCCCGAACACCCAACACAAGACCCACCACGGAGACAACCACCGAATCCGAGGACCAGACACACCCCGAAACTATCGAATACTTACTTGTGGGTGTCTAGTGCTGTCACCGTCCCTTTAATCCGCCGGATCTCAGCCTGTCTTCCTCTTCCTCAACAATCTCTGCTAGCCTGCCCTCTCCTCTTTCCTCCACAATCTCTGCTAGCCTACCCTCTCCTCTTCCTCAACAATCTCTGCTAGCCTGCCCTCTCCTCTTCCTCAACAATCTCTGCTAGCCTGCCCTCCCTCCTCTTTTCCTCAACAATCTCTGCTAGCCTGCCCTCCTCTTCCTCAACATCCCCCCTAGCCTGCCCTCTCCCCCTCCTCAACAATTTCTGCTAGCCTGCCTCTCTCCTCTTCCTCAACACCCTGCTAGCCTGCCCTCTCCTCTTCCCCTCAACAATCTCTGCTAGTCTGCCCTCGGTACAATTCGGAGGGGGGGAATTCTAGGTGGGGAAACCAACTTTTTTTTTTTTTGTCGGCCCTGTGGGGATAGTAATAAATATAAAGTGTCTACATTGTTTTGTACCAAAATTTGCCTATTTGAACGGAAAACTTTTTAAAAAGAAAAACGCTTGAAAAAGTCTTGAAAATTTTGTCATTTTGGGCCGAAAACGATTTTTCGACCTAAAATTAATATTTTAATTAAGTTGTAAAGTTTTTATGTTTAGGAATAGCTGTAAACAATTTAGCTAAGCACTCCAATTATTTATATAAAAATATAGGCTTGGGCCGGAAAAAGTTCGGTTTCCCCCCGCCTAAAATTTTCCCCCCGCTTATCCGGAATTGTACCCTGCCCTCTCCTCTTCCTCAACAATTTCTGCTAGCCTGCCCTCTCCTCTTCCTCAACAATCTCTGCTAGCCTGCCCTCTCCTCTTCCTCAACAATCTCTTCTAGTTTTTTTCTATGTTTTCCGTTCCAGGATTCATCAGAAGAGGTGGCGACAAACGGCTCGGAGAAAGTGGTGAGGGTTTGAATTTTCCTGGCATGACTAGAAAACGAACAATCAGATTAGCACTTAGCTTACATATAATATTTTTTGGTAAGACTCTAGTTTACCCCCCCCAGACGCCCCTTTTCTCTGCGCCCTCTCCCCCAGGCCTACTATCTCTTCACCTGCGCCCTCTCCCCCAGGCCTACTATCTCGCCTGGGGGGGGGGTTAACTAGAGTTTAGCCTATTTTTTTATCTCCATTTCCAGAAAAAGCGTCGGCAGCGTACGCACCCGAAATCCGTGCCCGGCTACGACAACCCAAAATTGCTGCGGTGCCGCACGGAAGATTCGCAGCGGAAGCGGAGGCGCAGAAATAAGAAGAAACAGGTGCGATGAAACATTCAAACTTTCCCATCGGCAAAAATGGAATCTCCGCTTGCCAACCCCTTTAAACCACCTATTTTTCTAGCTGAACACCATCGAGGCGACGCTCAGCTCGGAGAAGATCAATCGCCGCCAGAAGACGTCGGGAAGTGGAGGGAGTAAGCTATGAAGCACCAATCCTACTATATATAAAAAAATAGTGTCCGTGTGTGTGTGTGTGTGTGTGTGCCCCTTTGCTTTCGTTTTCGTCTTTCAACTTTCGTCAGGTTGTCCGGAGGATATCTCAAGGAGACAAGGGTATTAGGCTACGTATGATACGTCATTAGGTGCGTAATGGCCACGAGATGACTGCACGTATATCAGATTTTACAAAATTCGTAGTTTTCGACATTAAAATTACGTTTTTGTTGTGAAATCGGGAACCCTCTTTGGTAGGAACCAACTTGCATAGACCGGAAGTCGCGGGAGCCTATATAATGAGCGAGAGAGTGACAGTTTTCATTATTCGCATCAAAATGGAGAATCGTAGACAAGTATGCAAAGTGAAGGATATTATGGGGGTTTGACGGGGCCAGGGTTGAAAAGTCGCGAAGCGGTTTAGCTTGTTTAGCTTGTTTAGTTTAGAGAGCTAACCCTGGTTTAGCTTTAAAAATTTTAGAACGCTCGGCGGGTACTCGGACTCGTACTGAAGGAAAAGATCACCGCCGGAGGAGAAATATGGTAGGTTGGGGGCAGGCTAGCAGAGATTGTTGAGGACACTTTTTCCATTCCAGGAATCCTACCCGGCCCTCCAAACGGCCGTCGGCAGCTCGGAAAATCGGAATGCCCGTCGCGTGAAAACGGCCAGCTCGGCGAAATGTGAGCTAGATAAATGTAAAAAAATACAGCTGGTTAGAATTCGTCCACTAATAAACTTTTCCACGCTGACAAAAAATGTTTCAGCAAAGATTATTGTATACGCAAACGTTGGGGTTTCTTAATCTTTACCTATCTTTTACCTATCTTTTAGGATCTTTTACCGCTCAGTAATTCTCTTTTATGACAAGGAATATTGTAGAAGCAGATCTAGCGTAGAAATGATTTATATATCTTTGTATTTCCATGAATACAGTACGCAAACGTGTGCAGCCGTCGATGTCGCAGCAGCAGCAGATGGACGACCTGAAGAAGCGCCAGGAGAAGAACCGCCTGCTCCGGCAAAGCCTCGAGAAGCGCGGTAAAAAACCAAAACATCGACTTTTTGAAGTTTTAGATAATTTTCTACTTGAAATATAGTGAAATTTTGCTAAAAAATACCATTAAAATACTTTCTCTTAAATTCCCAGGCATCTTTAGACTTTACAAGAAAAGACTTCCACCCCCGGTAATGCAAAAGTACCGTTTATTTTTT